TATATATATATATATATATATATATATATATATATATATATATATATATATATATATATATATATATATATATATATATATAATCTTGTTCCATCCGTTTTCATCATTGCCTGATGATAACCTATGGTCGAAAGTAGTACAATGAATATTTTATTTTGAGTCAGCTAGATATATAACTTTATATATATATATACATACATATACATATATATATATTAAAATTTATTTAATATTTCTATTATTGTTCTATTTTTTGCAGTAGGCCTATACAATCGAACATCGAATAGACAATTTTAGAAAAGAAAATAAGCAGTGATTGAGGGAGAGCAATGGCTGATAAAATCACTGAAAATGTTGCCATGTGTTCTGTGTGTCAAGAGAGGTTCCATCCTCTCCAAACACTAGATTGTCAGCACTCATTTTGCGTGAAATGCATTGGAGACTGTGTGAATTCTAAGGAAGGTTTATTGACGTGTCTGACGTGCCGCAAATTTGAGGTAGGTCTACCAGGTAAAGCACTTCGTGGGTCAACTAACAACATGAACGAGAAATGCAGCACTAATGAAGAGGAAGTTAATTACTGCCTTTTGTGTAACGAAAATGTGACTGCACGCTGCATGGACTGTTCAAAATTCTTTTGTACAGAATGTGTTGAAAACCATCAGAAAATACCTTCTTGTCAAAGTCATACTGTGATGACCTTAGAGCAGTATCAGTCAATGAATGCGGAGGAACGCGCTGCAGCTAAACCGCTTATGTGCCCAGAACATTCTGATGTTACTGTCAAGTTTTACTGCGTTGATTGTTCCTTGCCTGTATGTATGGATTGCACTGTCGTCAGTCACAAACAACATGATATTAAGGACCAGAAAACAGTAATTGAAAATTTAAAAAAAGAAGCTAACACAGTTCTGAGTTACTGTTTAGCTAAAGAGATGGAAATGAAGAAGGGATTTGATCAGCATCTTCAGGATACAGAAGCTCAAAATCAGTCTGTGGCCATATGCAAAGAAGATATTGAACGCTTCGCTGAAGAGCTTCATCAGTTGATTGATGATTCTAAACAGCAGGTATTGGATAAGTTGGCCAAACAATCTAAGTCCGCTCTGCAAAATAGTGAGGCTGCAAAAAATGAGAAAGAGGAGAAATTGAGCCAACTGCATGAAGTTTTACAGCATGTTAAGAGATTAGTTCAAGCCCCTTGCTCTATTGCAGATATGACTGATGCCAGTGAAATTCTAAAAAAGGCTAAACAAATGAGTGGTCAGCGAGTATGTGCAGTGGCCAAAGGAAAATCTCAAACGCAGTCTTTCGAAACAACTGCTAAAAGAGGTGCAGATGGTAGCAATTCGGCTATTCCGTTTTGTTTTGAAGAGAGAAAACCCCTTAAAATGTTTCTTTCATCAAAACCTATAGGAACAATTGAATTTAAACAAAACAAGCAACCATGTACGAGCACATCAAAACAATTTAGGGAACGTATTTCGTGTCCGTCCCCGTTGTAACTATTCCAGTAGTCTTTCTCAACGCTTGGCATAAAATAAACCTTCTGGGTGATGGTATTAGGCCTCAAATGCAAGTCACAGTTATAGAACACAATGAATGATCCAGTGGGGGGTGTGGGAAAGCGTCATTATAGTTATGTGCCTTAAAATATGACACTACCTCGTAAGAAAATCAGTTTCGGTGTATTTCTGCTATAGAGTGATCAGTGACATAAACTAAACGAAAAGGTTCCCCAGTGTTCCGTACCGTATGTCACGAGAGGTTGACTCCCAAGTTAACGGCTGTCAGCATTCATTTGCTTTAAGTGCATTACATACTGGATGAATTTGACCAGATAAAGAAACTGCCATGGCTTGGGAGAATAAAATAAATCTGCTGGGTTATAGTCAAATTTCTTCATCAGGCAGTCACCTCGGAGGTAGTGGTGCGCACACAGAAGTGCATTGTCTCGTCTGCACTTTAAAGAACCCAGTACATCCTTCGAGAAGAGTAGGGGATTACCTTGGTGTACTGGTTCATTCGGTCCCCTGTCGTTTAATTGATATGCACGTAGGATAGTGATTATGTTCACTGATTGGCATATCCTTGGCGCTCGTGCCTAAGGAAATGAAATGAAATGAATGAAATTACACTGCTGTTTTGTTCAGACACGATTCCATATGCCAGAGAACTGTTCATTTGGGACGCTATAAAGATTTTTTTTTTTGTGGACCCTGATATTCTACTACCACAAAGAATGTTCGTCAGACGAAACACCTCAAAGGTTCTGTATTTTGTATGCCAAAGATAAAGGGAATTGCGTTAGTGAATGTTTACTTTTCTTTAATTTCCAGGTTCATTCATATTCATATTCATTCATGTTTTATTCATATTGTTCTTGCAGCGCAAGCACTGAATTGACACAATATTGACAATAAACAAATAGGCATATAAAGAGCAGAAAAACATACATAAACTGTAAAGAGAAAATACAAAGTCTAACTGTGAATTAGATCTAAACTAAACAGTAACAGTAAAATTTAAATTTATAACATTTGATCGCAAAAAACAATAAAATTGAGATACACAGGGATGTTGAAATTGAAAGATTTTATCAATATAATAGAGGTGTAAAATTTAGAAAATATTGCACAAGCGACGGGGTATGGATTATTAATTATTGTATGAAGATACTTTAAAATGGAGGCGAAATGTGTTAAAGTTGTAATTAGTTTGTCTATATGGGGTAGAAATTTCGAAAAGAAAAATTGTTGGCTTTATCAGGGAGAAGTCATGTACTGCTCCCTGATTTGATTAGATAAAAAAGATTAAGTGTAATTTTAATCTACAACATAACATTATTATTGAACCATAGGAAATAAAAAAGATAAGATTATTGAGCCAATGCCATTTTATTATTTTTATAATTTGCTACCATGATTAATAAATTGCCTGGGAATCACATATAGTAAACACAGTACGGTAGGCCTACACTTTACCAGGGCTCTACTATGAACCATCTTGTGTGGAATCAACCCAAGTACTTGCTATCAATCACTTTTACCTTGGACCAGACCTGACAAACAAAGATCTCCTAATAATAATAATATATACATTTTTGCCCGGCCCAACAAAAATCAATCGCCACTCACTGTACCTATTGACGATTTCCGGATTGAACTTGATACAGACTACTTGAAATCACAACCCACACTCGAATTCCGAACTAAGCAATGCGCATGCGCAGTTACCAAATAACGTCCGTGAATTATCTACAAAAACAAAGTGAGCATGCGCTTGGAAATGCTAGACAGCCAGTGAGCCTGTTCATTGTGTAAGTGACGTTATCGAGCCATGTTGAGCATGCGCAGCTACCAAAAAGACGTCTCAGGAACCAAAAATAGCAGGTGTGAAGACGTCTCAGGAACCAAATAGCGGCTGCGAAAAGGGTATGAAATAGAAACGGGAAAACTATATGTTATGGATGGAAAATAATGAGAACTCAAGCGGGTCGAAAGCATCTATTTTGGCTATTACAGCCAGTTCATCAGTGTTCGTCAGGGGGAATTTTAATTAAATTATCGCAAAAAAAAAGTATATTAGGCTCTATTGTACCTATGACTATTATTTGCATTGACAATCCCATAAAAAATGACAACTGACGACACAACCTAGGGCCTACTACCAGCCAAGTAGTAGAGCCACATTTAATTCAATTCAATTCAATTCAATATTTATTTGCTACAAAAGACATCAATGTGCTATTATCCGACATACAAAAACATAACACAATCGAATATCAACATTTACTATAGCCAATAAAAATACTCAAAATAAGAATTAAATAACTAATCAATGTGTTCCAAGGAGAGCACGGATAGAGGCATTGTTTGCAGAAGACGGGTCGAGATTTAGAGACGAGCAAAGCTTAAGTGCATATGGGAGAAACGAAGATTTGAAACGTTCGGTTCTACAAGGAAGTGGTAAGAAGGCAGATTGTCGGTGATTCCTAAACGAGATAGAAGTTTGACGTCGAAGCGGGAGAAAATCTGTGAGAATATGATCGTAAGATTGAACAATTCGACAAAATATACACAGAGTGAAATATTTAAATTTAATGTCGAAAAATACGGTGCCTTACGCTGAAGAGGGTTAGAGTTAGGCTAACTATTATCGAGATTTCGTACGGTACCCATGTCTTATCGATCCATTAAAAATAGCCACATACTGGCGGCAGTAGTAGAAAGGCCTAACCAAGCTAGTTGGGGAGGGGAATGAATACAAATAAATAAAATAATATTGAAATTAATATTATTATATTAATATTAATAACAATAATTGTAAAAATGCGGTTTGGCCCCTGGCAGTGGTGTTTATTCTGGTTGTTGAACTTGTAGTCAGCAGGAGTAGGCCTACAAACAGTAACAGACTAGGGTGGATGGCAAAACCAACAAGGGAAAACAACGTAAAAGATTAAGAGATGAGATCGATATTTATTGGGGAAGAGTGAAATGGTGCAACACAGCAAGAGAAAAAGATTTATTTGGCGTCGATATCCTGAAACGTTTGTCCAGCAGTGGACCGACAATAGCTGATGATGAAGCCTCTGAAGGTTATCAACGTGGTCGAGCCTTTCTAGGTGACAACTTAATTAATATGGGATTACAACCTAGACAAACCCAGCCACAGGACAGAATGACCCACCCTTTGATAATTTCTTATTCGTTTTTATCATTTTATTATTTTAACATAAATGTTATTTTTAAAAAAATCTTTAATTCATATACAGTATTATGCATATTGCAGTAAAAAAATTAGGCCTTAACAATAAGTAAGCATAGGGCTATATATATATTGATTTAAAAAATACGATAACAAAATTTACACATAGGAGAAATTTGGAAGTAGCTGTACACAAAAATTGAATAAGCTACAGAATTTTCGGTGTGTGTTTTTTTTTTTTTTTTTATAGGAAATATTTCTTGTTAATCACTTAATGTTCCATGTCTTCTTACAGATCATGGAGCTATACATTGTACATTAAATCTAAACCTCTATCTACCAAACAGCTTGTTACGGAAGTTTAAATCAATAAACCATTAAGTTTTCGCGCAAGACATCAAAAATGCCAAACTAATGAATATTGATGACTAGGCTTAGAACAGGTTATCAGTCAGTACGAAACAGTACTATCAGTTGCCCTAAATATATGCATGCTCTTCTGAGAAAGAAAAAAATCACTGTTCGCCACGTATGTCCTTGGTATTTAACTGAAATCACTAAGGCTAAAACACTCCGCAAACAACTGGAGCGAGGATGGCGGAGAACCAGAACAAAAACTGATAGGAACCTATTTAAGGCTCAACGCCTTGATACGGGGGCCAAACGACACACTACCAGTTCTTTCATACAAAACCATGTTTGTAAGGGACAAATTATGTTTTGTAATATACGAAAGTTATTCTGTCTTTACAACACATATTTTGTAAAAGACAAAACCATGTTTGTCTGTACAAAACATGTTTGTAATAGAAAAACCCATGTTTGTCTGTACAACATGTTTTGTAAAAGACAAAACCATGTTTGTCTGTACAAAACGTGTTTTGTAACAGACAAAACCATGTTCGTCTGTACAAAACGTGTTTTGCAAAATCCAAAACCATGTTTGTATGTACAAAACATGTTTTGTAATGACAAAACCATGTTTGTCTATACAAAACATGTTTTGTAATAGACAAAACATGTTTTGTAAAGACAAAACCATGTTTGTCTGTACAAACCATGTTTGTTAATTGTAACATAGTACCCTATAGTTGCATAGCACCTAAGGCGTTCACCCCTCTTGTTCCCCAGAGCATACCTGTCGTAGTGTTGCAATCTGTGACTAACTGTATGTACATTCCTGAGGTTGTATTTTCCTACTACTCCTCCAGGAAGTTGCCACTTTACTACAGTAAAGCATGTTCCCAAATTATGATGACCATACTAATTAAATAAGTTATCAATCCCTGTTTCCTGTCTTTATGTATATATGTACCTGTGTTTAGTTAGGAAATCAGTTCGTATTGATTTTAGAGACAATTACATCAGTCCTAATCAGTGTACTCCTCAACATTGTTTTTATATTGAAGTATATTTGCAACTATTTTACTTTTGTCTCCTGCTACCTTATTACATTGCCTTGGCTCTCGACACGCTACCGATATATGGTGGCTAGCGGTGGCTCTAAGCTATAAGCACCTAAGACCATACTATATTTCTTTTTACAAGAAGTGAACTTTGATTCTGAAGTTTGAAGAACAGAGCGCTTCACACAAGAATATAGGGTGAGTAACCATGATCTCAACTAATTCTCATACAGTTATAAATGGATTTGCATTTTCAATTTTATGTTCATTTGTTCACAGTAAGTTTGTTAAGTTTTAAACTTCCTTTAATCGTTAGTATGGCGACTAAACGACAAACCAGATCGCAAACCAAGAGACGCTGATGATACCCTTACTGTCCATTCCTTAGGCTTATTTGACAATTCCCAAGGTATAACTTCGGAACATACTATGACTATGAGAGTCCGATCATGACTAGTAATTCTAAACTTGACCAAATACACTCCCAGATTGAACTAGAAAGCATGAAGATTAGAACTAAAGAACTAGAGCTGGAACTAATAAATTCAGGTCAACAGCCTTAGTCTTACCCTCGACATTTAGACACACCAATATCCCCATCAATAAAATTCCTACAATTAATGAAAGTGATGACATTGATACATATTTAACATGTTTTGAGAGGATTGCACATCAATGTCTGATCCCTAACGAACAGTTTGTCCTTTACCTTCTAATAAAGCTTACAGCAAAAGCTAGAGAGGCGTACAGTGATATGTACAGAACCCTTTACTTATGCTGATCTAAAATCAGCAATCCTCCTCAAGTATCATCTGACAACCGATTCATATAAACGCCAATTTAAGCAAACCCCAAAACCACTTACTATGCCCGCTAAAGAGTGGGTAGGTAAATAAGATCGCGATATGAAGAGGTGACTTTTGTCAGCCAAAGTAAATTTGGACGATCCTAAAGAAATTTTAGATTTCTCCCTACTTGACCAAGCTCTTACTAATTTGCCTTATCCCCTGTTGTCATTGGTCAAAGATAAAGAACCAAAAACGTCCCAAGAAGTTGCTAGGATTACGGACAACGTTATCGAAATTAAAGGCAGGTCTTGGATTGAAACCGTATCAAATCTCAGCCAAAACAATTTTCCCCACCGCCTAACACCCGACCACCCTCCCCCCTTCATCTAGTGCTAGACCATCACCAATATTTAATACCCCACCCAGAGACGCCCCTAAACCATTGATGCCCCATCCCCCTCCCTTTTTACAACCCATTACAGCCCCAGCAACGTCCCCCGTACCCGATCTTAGACAGGCCCTCGCAATCAGACATGTTACCGTTGCCACGAGGTAGGTCACTTTAGTAGAGATTGCCCACTAAATTATGCAGAGAAACGCCAATCCTCACTCCCAACAAATCAATGAATATTTATGTCCAAGAATAATAATACATGTTGCTTTACTACTAGAGAATTTAACAATAACACATGGTTACTCCCCGGCACAATTAATGGCCAAAAGGCAACCATTCTTTTAGAGACACCGGTTCTTCCCAAAGTGTAGTTAAAAGTACATTTGTCCGATCATGCGATTATATGAATGAGACTGCAACACTAGGGGTATCACTGGTAAATCCGTATCCTTCACAGCGGTAGAAATATATGTAGAATGCAACGCTTATAACGGTAAAACGGTAAATTAAAAGCAGTTGTAAGCAAAGATACTCCCAAGGATTTGTTGCTCGGTAATGAGGTTATAAA